AAAGATCTACATGAGTACTAGATTTTGACATCTTTTGAAGCTACCATACTTTCCTTTTAGACCAGGTGGAAGGGGTTGTGTCATATGGCTCAGGTTGAATATCTTATTGTTAAAAATTCATACGTTTCTGTTCTTTTTTAATTTAAGTGCTGAATTTTTTTAGGAGTAGGATAAATATGAAACAAAGCCTCTACATGGCTGTATTAGGCATCCCAGTCCCTAGATCTTAATTTTAAATGGATGTGTTTGGAGGAAGACAGCACAAGAAAAAAAAAACATAATCTTTCTACTCTGGAAGATGTAGAATGATTATGCAAAGAATATTCTAAATGGGAAGTTAGAAAACTGGTTGGTAATCTCACTAGAAAACCACTACGTTATAATGCTTAATGTATGATTATTTTTCCTGCTACATAAATGCACCTTAATTAAAGAAATTATCTTAAAAATGTAATACTATCAGATAAGAATTACATTTATGTAAAGGCTGCAAATGATATTTCTATCAGGGGTATGAATAGGTGTAAGAGGTACTGTTTATGGACAACTGTTTAATTAGCAGTATTTTCTAGAAACATGAGCAAATCTAAAAATATTAAAGTTTTTTCAAGAGATTTTCCAACCTCAGATTTTGACGTTGGGTTTTCCAGGATGCTGAGCAAAGCTCTACAATGGCTTTGTTTCTCCATATGACACAAAGTACCTCTGGATACACAGTAAACATTTTATGATTGACATAATCTTTGAGTCTTTTTTTTTCTACCCTTAAATGTTTGTATGCGTCAGCACTCAAAATTTAATAGTCGAGTTGCAGAGGATCTACAAGTAGCTGGAGTGACGCCCGCAGCAGATCAAAATAAAAGACAGCAGTAAAATACAATATAAACCTTGCAACAGTTTAATGATGGAAGAATTGTTATTTTGATACGCTAAGAAAAAAATGTCAGAAAATTTCAGGCATCCCTTTCCTTCAATTTCAAACGTATCCAGCACATTGTGCTGAACTGTCACATAAAATGTATACTGTACATAAATATTTAAAATATTTTTTTAAAAATGCTGGAGAAACGCTGGAGAAAGTTCAATTGGTGTGAATAAATGTGCTGCTACTGTAAATCATTTTTAATAAAGTAAGTAACGTGTGATTTTGATTTCATTCAGATTTCTGTAGGTGAGTACAGATAAAAACTGTAAAATAAACAAAGGAGAATTGGGTGTTCTATTTTAAAAACAGAAATATAATCAGAGTCTAATAGGTTTCAACTTCTGACAAAAACACATTTTACAGAAGAGGTAGAGCGTTTATGTAGTTAAAATTTAACGGGTGACTTCTAACAGTGTGTGTGGCAAGTTTTATTTGCATTTTCTTCACAGGGGGAGTTTTATCTTGCTTCTAAAGGTGTGCTTGCCTCATGTTAGGATGTGCAATGTGTTTTGATATAGAATGTTTCAATGAAAAAAATACAATTAGTCAATTTTTCTTGGAGATATAAAGTGATGCAGAGGGGCCTTGTTCTTCCGGCTCTCACTAGAAAAGTGAAGGCTTTATTATATGTGGGCAAACTTGTTCTTTGATGTGTTGTCCCTGTTTGTTCTTGTTATGGGATGGTCAGCTTTACCAGGAGAAAACTTTATAATCCATTTCTATGTCCATGAGCGTTAATTTAATATTGTCACAAATTGGCTTCATAGAACAGTATGTATGTTGTTTCCTTTAAAGTGAGACATTTCAAACCAATCAACTACATTTAGACATATACGTTTATAATCATATGAAATGATTTTAAGGAAATTGTTGCAGTCACATATGACTTCCCTTTATATAGACCACCACCCTCCACTGCCGTACCTACTTTACCTGGATTGCACATGTACATTCTCACAACCCAAATACTGTATGTTTTAACTTCCATGCAGAGGTGGATATAGTACCAACACATTAAATACACAAGTAAGAATAGCACCACTGCATCATATTTGTTTAAAACAAGCCTGTTCTTTAATATTTCATATTTAAAGTAAAAGTAAAAAGTAGCCATCCAATAAATTACTCAAGTAAGAGAAAAAAAAATATTGGCAAAAATGCTACTCAAATACTGAGTAACTGATCATAACATCAGATTTAATGTTTCAGAAATGCTGTAAATTTACAAAACATCTAAAGTTATCTGCACATTTTGAAAACGAGATAAGAAAATAATAATAAAATTCAGTAATTACACAATTATTTCAAGTGGAAAAAACTCCTCAAAATGCCTTTCCTAATTAATTTTTTTATCCTAAAATCTCTGTCATCATTAATGATTGTCTGTTATGTATGTAGGTTAGAATATGGTATGTTAATGTAACATTAAATAGTAACATACATTCATTAGATATAGGCGTTTGTTTCTCTAGTGTATGTTTGTTTAAAACAAGCCTGTTCTTCATTGAGTAAAGTTATTCACGGTGGGTAGGGAAGCCAAACATTTTATTTAAGTAAGAGTAGTGATACTTCATCATTTTTTTTACTTACCGGTAAGTAAAAGTTAAAAGTACACTATAGAAAAACTATTTTTACTCAAGTAAATGTAACTGAGTAAATGTAACTACTTATTACCCACCTCGCTTCCATTGATATAAAATTACTATGTGTTTGTACAACTCCAGAAAATTATCTATTCATGTTACTCTCGTGCCGTAAAGGTTTTTTACAATAGTGTGACATCGTTTCTTCTGTTTTTGTTTATGTAGACAATTTGAGAAACATTCTAACAGAAATGTATGGCGATTACAGTATAGGTGTATACATATACCAAATTATTAAATAACTTTCTTGACTCATATAAATTTAAATGGCCTTCCATTCCAAATCAATAAATTCAATAGATGTGTTTCTGTCAATGTTTTCTTTACATTAGAACAATTCGATTGACACATAACAATTAAAAGCAACAAACGTAATTTTGCACGCACACAAAAAAGTCTGCATTTCATGAAAAAAAGATTATGAACATATTATAAAGTTCCAATATCCAGCTACTTCCAAAGAATTAGTACAGTTATATTAAATGTAGGACTTTATATTACTGCTCCCAAACTTAAAAGGTGTTTTGCATTTCCTGTAAATACTCTGCAGTTTCTTATGCATTAATAAACATGTATATTTTCTACTTTAATTTCATATCTACTTACCCATTTGCACATTAGTATAAGTTTAAGTATCCTTTTTAATAAATACAGTACTTCTTTCAAGTTTATAAGTTTATATATCAGCCTGCTTTAAATCATCTCTAACATTGCTACTGGTATATCTGAAATTGCTGAGAGAAAAGGATAATTCTGTTCTATTTTTTTCAGTATCTTACAGTTACAGTTACAGTTGGGGATGAAGTGAATTCTTTTCTGAAAAATAAGTCTTCCATGTTTTCAGACATGTAGAAATGATGTATATTTTGCTACACAGGTCTGATAAACATAAAGGACTGTGCTAGAATCAAATAGGCATTAAAATCTACAGTTACACTCCTAATGATAGTCAACATAGTCATCAATTTGGGGTGATGATAAAAACACAGTGGTTCTTAAATTGTTTGATAATGATAAGCGGGTCTGCCAATAGCTTGAGAGCAGCACTGCAGAAGTAAAAACAAACAAAAACAAAAGCTTTCATTCTGCCTGAGAGAAAAACACTTACTTTTCTTCCCCTACTTGACATTGTTTTCACTGTTCGCCAGAACCAAAGCCTCATAAATATATAAACAATAGTGATTTCATCTAAAAAATTATTATAATGTTAAATAATGTTGAATTTTATTTGATTAATCCAAAATAGATGCAATGGATTTTTTTTTATACATATCTTTATTTTCACTTTAGAATTAATTTGCTCAGATTTCTTTTTTAGGTTAATTCCTGACTTATTATCCACTAATGCTTTAGATCCATATGGGTGTCACAACTGTTGGGATTCCTTTTCCTTTAGCCAATACTTAGATTTCAGTTGTCATAGCAACATTGATTTTAACAAATTTTTTACTTGGTGCTATAAACAAGGCTGTTCAAAGTGGAGCCCACGGGGAAATTACAAAAACATCAAAATCTTCTTAGAATAGGAAATTTAAGTATGATGTAAAGTATCAATCTTTTACTGCCTTTGCTTTAATTTTATTCTAGAATAACCGCAAACTCTTAGTGATGATTACTCAAAACCCAGACATGGGCACGCTTCATTAAATTTGGTCAATTAATAGCAGTGAGCCATATTACCATACATAGCATGGAAAAACAAAACATATAAACAAGCAAGAAAAATAAATAAATAAATAAAATAAACAAAAAATCTTACTTCCTCAAAAATGGGAAACTTTAGTTCAGGGTAAAACTATCAGCAATTTTTTTTTTTTCACATCTTATGTAGAAAAACTCAAATTAAGTTTGTTTCATTAAAATAATTATTGTCTATTTAATGATAAAGTAAGAAATAAATAATCAATATAAACTATAAACGTTGTTTCATTTTTAAATCTAAAGACAAATAAGAATGTGGCCTGCGATTACACTCAGCTTGCTGACTTTGGTCCCCGTCAGTAAATGTTTGTAAAGCTTATCTATAAACCTTTACCCAACACATATATTTGTTTGTGTTAAAGCCAAAGGTAGTTGGACATGAAGAAAATAAGTCTAGAATAATTTCTAAAAAAAAATAGTCTTAGGTGCTTTGACTAGTTCTCATAGATAACACAAAATAGATTAATTTGAGGCGCTTTTATAGATATATAAAACTTCTTTTTGTAGATTGGCTGGCACTGCTTTCATACTTTTGTCATTGTAGCTGCATTAACAAAATATTTCTAAAAAGATAAATAGCAGACTTTATTCAGGAAAATAACGTCCCTCCTAATATCGACTTCTTTTTTATAGATCTAGCATTTCTAACTTTGCCTAACTGACTCGTAACGCCAAACAAGCTCAAACCTTTCTTATCCTTTTTGGGTTAATTGTGCAAAAAAGTAACTTACTTTGTGTTGCATGTATACCAGAAGAAAGTAGTCCAAAGGCTCCCCAAAATCAGAAGGTTAAAAGCCAGCAAAAGGTGTCCCTTCATACTTCCCTCCTTAAGTTTCACTTTTTGGTTTTACTGGTTTTCTTTTTTACAACCTTTATTGGTTATCACCTCTTGGTTATCCCTGCTATCAGAGTCCACACCTAAAGAAGCTCTGCATGTGCCTTATGTTAAACATTGTCTGTTTTTTTTTAAAGTTCAAACAATAAATCCTTTAGAATGAAAGGTCGCTTTGGTCGTTGTTCCAGTTATATTAGTTTTGTGAAAGCACTAAGAAAAGTTTTGTGCGCTAAAACAAACACTGAAAATTGATGCAAACAAAGTTTGAGAGGTGTTTTTAAAGATAAATAGCACTGATTTATTAATATTACAAAGCTGCTGACTACATTCCATTATGTTTTCTGAATATGTTGTTAATATAAATATTACTGGCTTTACTTCATAACAATGTGGTTATTATAACGTCACATATCATTTAAAGTGACTTAATGTCTGTAATAACGCTGTGGTGACAAATGTGCATGTCTCCTGCTTTATCATTGCAGGTATAAGCTTAGTTTCTCCTTATCAAACTGTCTGTGGGTCTCCAATTTGAGAGACTTAGTCAAACCAAGATGTCCCTTTGAACAGAAAAAGACTGTTGAATACAAGTAACTTCGTAAATAAAGAAAATCTTTGTTTCTTGCCTTTTAAATGTCTGGCTTAATTCATTTGGCACTACGGTGCATGTAACTACAACTATAAAGTTTGTCAGTTTCGGTTTATTGGTTCCAGTCTGTTTAACATAACATGTAACCATACATAGTTACGGTAATCAGTCTGCAGCAAATACCCTTTTCAGTTTTTCCAGCTCATCTTGCTGAGTCATCAAAGCCTTTGTTCGGATTATGGGAAAAGACAAACAAAAAAAACAAACATAAAAGAGGTGGTTTTAAAGCAAAGCGAAGCAAGAAAAACAGTTCAACAAGTAGATTTAAGGAGAATACAAAGCACTCTGTTCCACATAATCATGTTTTGACTGTTTGCTCGCACTATTTGTGTAACACTGCTCAGGATTCTAGAGCAGTACATGCAGAACGAAGACAGGCAGATGTATTCACATCCTTTGTCCACCATGTCACAGCTACTTAGAGCAATATTCGTAATTTACGCACTTTTGTTTATTTAATGAAGCACCAATTCAACTTTTGTGTGACATGTGCAAAAGAGAGCTGTGTTTATTTAATGAGGAACAAAATGAGAAAACTATGATTTTATTTTCTTTAACCAGTTGTTGTGTTTGTTTTTCTTCTTTTAGCATGTGCGTTTTTTATGAAGAACTTTTTGTATGTGTACTGTACTTTATTTATGCATATCTGTCGATGTACACACTCACATTTAAAACATAATTTATCCAACCTTAGTCTGAACGAGTTGCCACTGATTTTACAAATATAAGTATTTAAATAAATACTAATACATTTACAACTAAGATAACCTATAAAAAGCTATTTTCCTCACAAAAACCTTGGTTGAGGACAAAATAAGTAAAACCTTTTCATTTTAAATTGTGGTAATTTCTTTATATCCGGACTGCGTATTGTGCAGTCCCTGTCCCTACTCTGGGATTCTGTCTTATTGCTTTTCCTGTTTTGCTTGGAACAGTTAACTAGCTGAAGCATCTTTATCGCCTGACAAGCTGCAGTTTCATTCGTTATCAGGAGATCTGTTACGTAATCTTACATTTTATTGTCAGAAGCAGCATTACAAGTTGAAACTGAGCTGTCACATCCTGTCAAAACCATCTTAAAGGAGTATCGGGAACACAGTAAAATACATATACTCAGCTTTGGATGTATTGGTAATGCAAAAGCTCAAAAAACAGATTTGCATAAAATAGATTTATGTCCAACTGTAGCTTATATATTGATATTACATACTGGTTACTTATTAAGACATGCATATATTTAAATTTGCATAAGGTAATCAAGACTAAATAAAAAGGAGTTCCACAATACCTTATTGTACAACTATATATATTCAGATGTTTTTTCATCTCATTTGCTGATGGATCCAAAGATCCAGAATCACTACTGGGGCAGCAGTGTATAATCATCATCTAGACAAAGGAATCAAAATATTAATAGGTTTAAACTGGATTGAAAAACAATACAGTCAAAATGTTGTAGTCATGTCTGATAGTTTGGCATCTCCATTAAGTACTGAATCAAATAATTAAAAAAGAAAAGATATTATCAATGGTTTTTATTATAGTGTATATATAAACTCCATTTAAATTATATAT